AAATATTTTTGAGCAGAGGAAATTATCTGTACAAAGTAAAATCCACAAACAGTAGCTTATGTCATACTTGGTATGACATAAATTTAGTACACTCAGCATTATGTTTTATTATGATTGAATATTTTCAATTGTGAAGAAGATTTAAAGATTTAGTAAGCAAACAATTTTACTGAATATCTTCTTAACGTTGTTTCAGGACAAGGTACAGTTGAACTACATGAGGATGCAGACTATACGAGGATATAACCAGAGGCAGAGAATAATAATTGCATGGCATTGCTTTGATGTCATCCCTGGCCTCTACTAAACTTGAACGAAGTCTAGTAGAGGTGATATATAAGTGCTAATTGATTCTCATGTTTAGAAACTAAAAGCTGGTGATTGTGTGGTTAATCTGTTTTAGTGGCTAGTGTAGGGTCGAGTATATTTGTAGTTGTACATCATTTTCTCTCTCCACTAGACCTGGCTTTTGTTCAGATAACAACCAGAAGATGATTGATGGAATATGGAAAAATTACAGGTAGCTGTGTTAGTTGTTGCTAAGGGAATGGCAACAGAGGACACCACAGCTGTGTGTTGTTCAAGTGCAAGACTCAAAGAGGTCTGGCACGTCTGCAAATGCAGGGGATACACTGACTACAGGTGATATATGTGTGAGCATACTTAAGCCTTTAGTAATGTGACTTGACCAAGGTAACAACTATATTTGTGACTAGGCCTACATAACATTCAAACTTACAACTTTAGCTGACCTCTTACTAATACGAATCCAGTTAACACACATAATTTAATTTTCACTTTCATTATGTATGATTAAATTCTTGACTTTTTGGCTATCTTGTCTTTGATTGGGTTTACTGAAAGTTTTGCACACATTCGTCCTACTGCTCGATCACCAGTACGCTCGTCATGGAAGATTACATCTTGTTTAATGACATCGTTAAGATTATAACCATGTCATCAGACCTCCAGTCACCAAGACAAGCCAGGAAAACACCTGTTTCTGCAATTCATCCAGAACCCAGCCTGCCTACTAATATGAAAATGAAATAACAGTAATGTGGGTGAGGACCACATAAGGTTTCTTTTTTCTTCACTTGTATTTACTTTATTATTATTTTATGATTCTGATCTAGACACACACACATATATATATCAAGAACTTTACCTTCCAGCTTTGGTAACTCAAAGTTACCTATAAATTTAACATTTGAAGAATTGATTAATCTTGAATGATCATAATTTTTATGCTCTTTGTACACGAGTAAAATATCTAACATTACCCTTGTATCATGTTGAATCATTAATGTGTAACGTTTTAGAATTGGTATTTTTTATGATCTTTGTGCACATAAAACTACAAATAAAATATAACATTGCCTTTTCTCTCTTTCATTATGAAATGTTATGTGTGAATGTTTTAAGAAAAAAGAATGAACAAATTACACCATTACTACTGATAACATGATGGTTATTATATACATCTTCAAGTACTCATGCATTAATCTATATTTGATATCAAATTTTCCGTCGGCCCCCAGTAGCACAGCGATATGTTTTCGGACTTACAACTCTAGAAACCGGGTGTCGATACCCGTGATGGGCAGAGCACAGATAGCCCATTGTGTAACTTTGTGCCTAACTTCAAAACAAAAACAACACTCTCGTCGACACCTTATTAGTCACAAATCCAGATAGTTATGTGGTTAAATATATGTTAAAGGGAATAAAATACAAATTATTTATTTCATATTGTATTCATATGTGTTGAAGAGTTTGTTTCATGTATTATGTAGGGTAATGATGATAAAAGCTTATAATCTTTTACTAGGATGCAGGGCCAGCTGCAATGGGGGTGGGGTTGTTCATCTAGATTAGATGATGTGCTACTCAGTTTCAGATTCAAAATTGATGTAAAATATGTATGACAAATACAAACTGAAAATTAAAATACAATTAGATTAAAGCTAAACATGACAATAATGATAATGTACAGTGAAGTATAATAGTAATGAATATGAGTTTGCTCTCTCCTTCCCCCTAAATAAATGGGCGCCTCCGGGATTGCTAGGATATAAAAATTGGCAAAAAAATGTTTTTTATGCAAAATAGTCGTTTATTTTATGTTTTATTTTGTTTTGCATGTGGGTATAGAGTTTATTTCAGCATTACTGTATAGTCTTGATCTTGTATTTATATTATGATAATTGGTATATTGATTTAGTTTTCTTGTTATTGTGGCACTCTGACATTCTCAGGTTCATTCACTGCAAAATAACGGAGGATCACCAGAGAATACTTTGTGGAGCAAAAATCTGAATTCTCTGACCTCAACTGAGTTTGAAGAAAAGAAGAGATTGGACACAATGTACAACACAGTGATACACTTTATTTCAGCCAAACAACAATCAAAGATAAAGACAAATGTACTGTGTGGTGCCTCTACTGGAGTAATCTATATCAAGAATATCTGTTAATATGAGTAGATAATTCTATTGAAATCTGTCCCATACTGAGAAAACATGGTATTACATACTAATAACAACTATGCCATTCTTTTTAAGATGCAGAAGCTATTCACCAGACTTGCCAGTGGAAAATATCACTGTTTCTTTTTATACAATAGGCTCTATGTTATAATAATCTTTCCTATAAAGATTTCACATGATATCCTAGCTCAATGGTTAATAAGAGTGATTGGAACTAAGTAACTCCCTTGATCGACATAATATATTGTTGCAACATGTTCTATCATTTGTTAGGTTATTGGTGAAAATAATGCAAAGTCCAATCTATATAACAATGACAAATTAATTTATTATTTCAGTAATTTTTGTTACAGCCACGTTCACATAAATAAATGTTTCAACATAAACTCTGCAACTAGATGTAGGCCTAATTTCAAATATAACGTTTCAATACAAACTGAGATGTATGCCTAACTTAGTTACTTAGCTCTGATTTATAAATAAACACATAACTCACTGAGTAACTAAAAAAGCAGAATAGACGTCATGAATCACTCACTGAATTCAATAACTTCTTGTTAAATACTTCAATTTGATGTTAATATTAAGCCACTTCTTACTCGAACTTATAGCTAATGTACCACATTTAGATACTAATTACATTCACAAGATCCCCTAGTGCCACAGGAGTAAGTCTAAAGCAGTGGTAGGCAACCTATGACCCGCGGGTCACTAAGTGACCCGCGGCAATAATTTGGCTGACCCGCCAAAAGTTGGCTTCACCATTGCAACCCGTAAGGGCA